TAAAGATTTTACGGTTTCAGTTAGTGTGTAGTTTAATTAACTATTAATTGCCAAATCTTAACTGATTAACATTAGACGTTATGTTTTGAATCTCAAACGTCTTTTTGATTCGGAAATGAGTGAGTGTTAACGGATCAGGTAAAAGTTTATGAAATATTATAGCTATTATGTATTATAGTGCAATAAATATTCAGTATTATTTGACCATGTTTGAATTAGTTTTTAGAATTGTGCAGATTTTCCCACAAAATCAGCTCAGAAAATGTTAAGAAATTTGGCAAATCCTGGTAATGACCTGTGTGTGTGTGTGTGTGTGTGCTTGTCTTTTATTGTCTTGCAGGTGTTCAGCATTCTCATTTTTTTCTGTGTTATCCTAATTAAACACACAGACACACCTACACACACGCACACATAACCCAAAACACAATTCCCCCTATTTTCATAATGAGACAGAATCTGTGTGAGACTAACGAGAAATCTAACGAGAGAAAGAAACCCAGAGACGGATCCGTTTCTGTCTCATTTATAATCAATCGCCCTCTTTTATATTAGTTTGTTTTGATTATGTTTTATGACTCACAGACGGAAAAACACTGGACAGAACTTACAGTTAGAGGACAAGTTCACCCACTAATGAAGATCCTGTTACTCACGTTGCTCTTTTCCATGCAATGAAAGCATATAGAGCCAAAAACATCATAAAAGTATCTTACATTTGAGTCAGAAGAGTTATTCTAATTATATATATAGCACAGAAGTCACGATGACTACTTTTACGATACTTGTGTGGTATTTTTAGCCTTTTTGGGCTTGACAGACTTGGTCACTATGAGTGAATAAGTTTTTCAAACAAAAATAACATTGTAGAGTTTGGAATGACATGAGGATCTTCACGTTTGGCTGAACGGTTGGTTTATGTATTGAGATCCACTCCATGACATTTATTCTCCTGATGGTCGAGTTAATTTATTGAGCAGCGTTAAGTGTTTGGTATGATCGCTTAAACACACACACTTAGTACCCAGCCACACCACCTAGTATTTTATACCATATTTAATATTACTAAGTACATCCCTACTGTCTGAAGCCCAGTGTGCAGCGCCTGAAATAGAATCATTCCACCGGTCTTGATGCTTTTCAGGCCGTAATTGCAACTTAATCTCTGGCCTATGCAATTTGCATTGTAATAATATCCAATATTCAAACTGCAGTAATGGTCTTGCGGTTTACGGAACATTTGCATCAAGCAGCTGGTGCTTTGCGTTTCTCTTTAATGCGGATTTTGTCTTGATTGTTTGTTTTTAAATGTCCTCTCTCCTTCACTAGCATGTTAGAAAGATTCAACGTCAGCGGTTTTATATTTAACACCGCATTGGGGATGACATTTATTCTCCTGATGGTCGAGTTAATTTATTGAGCAGCGTTAAGTGTTTGGTATGATTGCTTAAACACACACACTTAGTACCCAGCCACACCACCTAGTATTTTATACCATATTTAATATTACTAAGTACATCCCTACTGTCTGAAGCCCAGTGTGCAGCGCCTGAAATAGAATCATTCCACCGGTCTTGATGCTTTTCAGGCCGTAATTGCAACTTAATCTCTGGCCTATGCAATTTGCATTGTAATAATATCCAATATTCAAACTGCAGTAATGGTCTTGCGGTTTAGGGACATTTGCATCAAGCAGCTGGTGCTTTGCGTTTCTCTTTAATGCGGATTTTGTCTTGATTGTTTGTTTTTAAATGTCCTCTCTCCTTCACTAGCATGTTAGAAAGATTCAACGTCAGCGGTTTTATATTTAACACCGCATTGCATGTTTACACGACCTCTCTATATACATGTTCCTGTTCTTATTCAGCATTATTTTAGCTTTATTTATGTACCGTAATGTTACAATGTGTATCATGAATTAGCTTTTTTTATGTTTTCAGTTTAGAAGTTTTTGTAATTTGATGTGCTTTTGTCATTTTTATTAGTTTTTATATTTCTATTTAGTTTTCATTTATTTTTAAGTTTATATTTTTGTCAAATGTGACCCTGGAGCACAAAAGCAGTCTTGAGTCGCTGGGGGATATTTGTAGCAATAGCCAAAAATACATTGTATGGGTCACAATTATACATTTTTCTTTTATGACAAAAATCATTAGGATATTAAGTAAAGATCATGTTCCATAAAGATGTTTTGTAAATTTCCTACTGTAAAAATTTATTTTTAAGTTTATATTTTTGTCAAATGTGACCCTGGAGCACAAAAGCTTGAGTCTTGAGTCGCTGGGGGATATTTGTAGCAATAGCCAAAAATACATTGTATGGGTCACAATTATACATTTTTCTTTTATGACAAAAATCATTAGGATATTAAGTAAAGATCATGTTCCATAAAGATGTTTTGTAAATTTCCTACTGTAAATATATTAAAACTTAATTTATGATTAGTAATATGCATTGCTAAGAACTTCAATTGGACATCTTTAAAGATGGTTTTCTCAATATTTAGATTTTTTTGCACCCTCAGATTCCAGATTTTCAAATAGTTGTATCTCAGCCAAATATTGTCCTATCCTAACAAACCATACATCAATGGAAAGCTGAGATGAATAAATCTCAATTTAGAAAAAAATGTACCCTTATGACTGGTTTTGTGGTCCAGGGTCACATTTATTTTAATTTGAACTCATCTAGTTGTCAAGGCATTTTTTAATTAAAAATTTTAAGCCAGTTTTTAGATAATTGTATCTAATCTAGGCATTTATTATTATTATTTTATAATTTTTTTGCAGAAATACACAACATCATGTCAACTACTAATGTTTATCCATGAGCCTTTTATTTTAAACTCAACTTCCAGTCAAGCAAGGGATTTAACCACAATCATTCTGGGATCTGATCGGTCGAGACATTCAGAAATGCCCCCTCAAGTCACCCACGGGTTACAGTAAAGTTTGCAGTAAAGGGCACATCGATTACGGACACGTGCGGCGGTTAACAGGAAGACACAAGGTGCAGAAAACCCCTGCTGTGTGTCTAAGTTTAGCTGCAGTGATGAGAGAGATACAAATCAGAGAAAAAGAAAGAAAAGTAGATGACAACATCCCACGATCCCTTCACTCTGTCTGGGCAATTAGTGGCACAGTCATCGCGGCCGGCCCGAGCTGCCACATCTGATGAGGGACATTCTCACCGCACTAAATACGGCACTCTGGATTTACTTGACAGCATATTGTTAGTCATACAGCACTTTCTGATTTACAGTGATATGCAGATTCATCCAGTGCTTCAGTCACTTCACGTGTGGGTTTGCTTGCGTTCTGAAGACAGTCGACTGGCTGAGAGAGAATAGTTGTCATAGATTAGTGTGAGGAAAGATTTGACATCAAACTTGTTTATTTTTGGCAATGCAATTAAAAGAGATTGACCACGGTACTTTGAGATGTGCATGTCCAAAGAAAAAACATGTTTGATACTTTATTTGTATGCATGTGTATTTAAAATAAACAACCTACCTATTTTGTCTTTTCCATATTCATACACAGTGATGGGTAGATTACTTACTGTTACTGATTACAAATTGCATGATAAAAAAATTGACATTAGTAATTTGTTTACTCATTTTAGATAATGTATTCTGATTACTTTTGGATTACTTATAGATTACTTTTGACCTAACGTATGATCTAAATTTTTTACGTTTGAAATTGTGAATAATTTGTAATCATGTAATCCATAGAAAGTAACTGTAATCTGATTATGAACTTTTTAAAACATAATATAATCAGATTACAAGTACTACATTTTTGGAATCTGATTATGTAATCCTGATTACATTTATTTACATTAATCAGTCACTGTTCATATGCCATGGTACTTCAAAGAATACTGTGGTATTACCTTGTACGTTTACCATAGTATTTTGTTAATGAACCTGAGGCCGTATTTCATGATCCGCTTGTAATATATTTCTCGAGGGTCATTTGATAGACAGCAGTGTGCACTACAAGTACACTACACTAGTTTCATATGTCTCTGTGTGTACTGTGTGTGTGTGTGTGTGTGTGTGTGTGTGTGTGTTTGGCACACTCTCTTGTGTGAATCATTAGATGTTGGATTGCTCCAATTCCCAAACCCAGACTGCCAAAACTCCTGCCGGGTGCGTTTCCTCAAACAAGCCTCACACACAGAGTGGGACAGAGGAGATCACACACACACACACACACACACACACACACACACACACACACTGATACATGTACACGCAGTGGGAAGAGGCCAGAATGACTGACTGAAATCAGTTCATATGTCATTATTCCTGCTGAGCACAATATGTTATTAGTGGCGTTTAAGTCAATCATCACTAGTACTAGTGCTGATAGTAATGTGATCAAAGCCTAGACACCAAGTATTATTACAGTTCCGATGCACAATTTACACCTGCTGGATAATAAAACAGGTGAAAAAATCCCATAGATGCTCATTGAAGCAGGGACCTGAGCCTTATCTAGATAACAACACCCTAGCAACTACATAGCAACAGACCATCTGGAGCTCCCTAGCAACCACTCAGTACACAAACATCTGCATAGCAACATGTTAAAAGTCACTCTGAACACCCTAGCAACTGCATAGCAACACCCTGGAAACCACATAGCAACACATCTAAAATCATCTAGAGCACACTAACACCATTCTAAACACAAACAACTGCATAGCAACACCCTGGCAACCACATAGTAACACACTTAAAGCCATCTGGAGTACCTTAGCTACCACTCTGCATAGTAACCCCCTGACAACCACATAGTAACACACTTAAACCATCTGGAGTACCCTAGCAACCACTCTGCATAGCAAACATCTGGCCTAGTATCCTTTTAGTGAGGGAAAACACCACAGAAACCCTGTTTGTTATTGCTGATGCTTTGATTAGTGATGATGATTGTCTTCTGTGGTTTGTGTTTTTTGTTCCTCTGAGACTCTTCTAAGTTGGGCCTGTTGTCCTCTGTTTTTCTCTCCTCTCTGTCTCCTCTTTTCTCCATCTCTCAGAGCAGATACGGTGTAGGAGATCGAGGTGTTAGGCTGTACGGCGCTTTACCCTTGAGGCCCAACCCTGAGGAGAAAAGACTGCCCTCTTCAGGGGTGAGACACAAAACTCGTACCTTCAGCTCTTCTCCAGCTCTCATCCAAGCGGCTAGCGGACCAGAAACATACTCTATACAAGTACACAGTTACTAACATCAATGCTTTAGCATACTATGCCGATGCAACACATACTAGTTGTAAAGTTGCATAGTTAGCGTTTGCAATTGTGTGCTTTTTTAGCGTATGTTTCTGAGCTTAAAGTCCATTCACACCAATGAAAACAACTATAATGATAACTAAAAAGTTAAATAATCATTCTAAGTGTACGTTTTACATGACAACAATGTACTACAAACTGAAACGTTTTTTCTTTTGCATTTTTGAAAGGTTTCGCATTGCAAGCAGCAATGCTGTCCAAATAACCCCCGTTCACACAGATCTGCAAAAACAACAAAAACGCTGTATTATGCAGGCCAGGCCAGTAGTTGGGGCTGTTACTTTGTAAAAAAACAACAAAAAAAACACTGTGCATCTGTGCACATACACATTCTTATAAATCAGAGGTCTTCAAATAAAATTGCTTGAGGTCCAGTAATGAACCCTCCTCACTAGCCGAGGTCCGGACAATTATATTTAAAGGTTCATTACGATTTCACTTTTTTAACGTTAGTTAGTGTGTAATGTTGCTGTTTGAGCATAAACTATATCTGCAAAGTTATGAAGCTGAAAGTTCAATGCAAACGGAGATATTGTCTTTTAAAATTCTACCAGTTTAATGCCTACAAAAACGGCTGGTAGGGACTACAACGAGGTACTTCCCGGGTTTGTGACATCACAAACCCAGATAAACCCCGCCCTCGGGAAAAGGCAGCAAAGGGGGCGAGGCCATGCTGCGCTGCTTTACAGAAGAGGAAGAGAAAACTAGGGGTGCACGTAAAAATCTATTCATATATGAATCGCGATTCTGTCTTCTAACGATTTTAATGGATTCACAAGCTTCAAAATCAATGTTCTAAAGCAGTGGTTCTCAATCCTGTTCCTCATGTCCCCCTGCTCTTCACACGCTCTGCATCTCTCTCTCTCTCTCTCTCTCTCTCATTCAGCTCAGCTCCGACAATGAACTGTTCCAATTATACACTTATTTTCACATAGCTATGAGAAGCATTAAACATGGACGCGCATGCGGTTGCTGTACTGTATTAAAGCTTTAATCAGGATAAAACCATATATTAAAAGCTAACATAAGCAGTAGCATTTACAAATAACAGCATATCTAAAAGTAAGAGACAACAACAAACAAAAAACATAGGCCTACCATTAAAAGCCGTGCTTGCACAGGTTCTGCACGATCCTCTTCAATAATATCCTCTGCTTCTCAATCGGGCTCAAACTGATAAGCGATATTAACGATGCCGTTGTTTACAATACATTCGGAGCACATGCCGCTGAGGTGAGGGGCGGGACGTTTAGACGCGCACTAGAGGCGGTTTAGCCAATCACAACACACTGGACTAGCTAACCAATCAGAGCCCATCGCCTATTTCTGAGGGCGGGGCTTCATAAAAACAGGAAATGATCAGTGCGTTTATCAGAGAAGGGACAGAGCTGTATGGAATAAAGGTAAATGATGTGAAAAATAATGCGGTTTTTTTTTTTTAACTAAGCATTAACACATTAGACTGCACCCCATAAACACAATCAAGCCTAGAAAAAAACCCCAGTGAACCACCCTTTTAAGCTCATATTTAAGACTTTTTAAGACATGCACAAATTAAATTAAAATGACTGTAAAAAGCATGATTTACAGTTCAGATACAGGTTTTGACAAAAACAAAGTTTTATAAAATTATAAGCTTCTCATTTAAGTCTTTAAACCATTTTTTAAAAAGAAATTTGAGTCAAAATTATCAATTATTATATTAATTTAAACAATTATTATCAGTCAATTATATTCATTAAATAACTTATAAATATATGTTACTGTCTTAATTGTTAAAATTTTTATTGCATTTTCTTCTTGTCTATCCACCAGTTCACATGTAACAGCTTTGCGTGTTAGCAGCATATAAGCATGGGTTGATTTTCACATTGGTCTGAACAAAAACATGCACATTCATTCTCTGCCAGCAGGTGGCACTTTCGGAACGGCAGAAATACAGTACAGCGGTTTCCCTGGTAACGCCAGTACACAAAGCAGAGAAGCAGCTGACTTTGAAACATGCAGCGCTCATATTTATTCAATGAAATCATAACCTTTTGAAGTTTAATCGTCACATTAAGCCGTATCACAATTCTTGTCTTACCGTCCCCAAATTTAAGACATCCTGAAATCATAATTGAGACTTTCTTGTACCATTTAAGACTTTTTATAGCCTTAAATTTGATACGACTAAATTTAAGAGTTTTTAAGGACCTGTCAACTTTCTTAATTTCTGAGAATGCCATTGTTTTTCACTCACTGAAAGTTTCTTCTGTCTGCGTGCCTCTCTCTGCTCTCTTCACTGCACGTCTGACTGTAGCAACAGTTAACCATAGTACCTACCTATGGTGCCGAAGGACCCACAGTGCTCTACTGAGCTGACCATGATGTGCTTGATATAAATTATATTTTATTAGAAAATAGCGTCTGGTATTTATTTATTTCATGTCAAAAAACTTTGCGGTCCGGATGGACACATCTCGCGGTCCGGATTCGGACACATCTCGCGGTCCGGATTCGGACCGGAGTCCGCCAGTTGGCGACCCCTGTCATAGACTTAACATCTAATATGCATACGCATGACATCACCATTTTCACAAATTTACGTTTTGTAGTTTACAAGATGATAATTTATATAGTTTTCAAAAATGTACACTTTGAAACCCATTTTTAAAAGTTTGCATTTTTAGGCCCCATTCGTGTAAATGAACGACCAAAATTCTAATTCTAATCCACACCACAACGATAACGATAACTAAAGACTAAAAATATCATTGGAATTACTGTGGGATTTATTTTTTCCAGTCGTTGAACGATAAAAACATTGACAGCCAATCAGAATCCACCCGAATTTAAACAGCTTGAACATGTAAAGTGACAGACGGCAAAACGGTTATCGTTATAGTTAGCGTTTTTTGTGTGAACGAGCCTTTATTCTTTAGCATCTTAACTAGTGATCGGTTTGTAATGATCTGCCATAGGTAGCAACAAATACAGAGTTCTGGCATGAAACTCTAGATGGCGCAGTCCAATAGGTCTAAATCAATCTGACTTAATTACATCATTATCACATGGCACAGCTGATTGGTTCTCTCCTGTATCGGTAGCCAATGAGCTCGCTGCTCAACATTCAAATATATGACTAGTGCTTGCGTAGCAGTTGCAGCTTGCTTCAGAAACCCTCCACCTTCCCCAGCTCCACCTGTATAGATCTGCTACGAGGTGATTCATGTATGCTATATGGGCGTTATTTCATGTATGTTATATTTGCAGCAGCAATATTTCTTACATGCTCACAGCAGCATATTGTGGATTTATTGGCAGTAGCAAGTCTCGGTACTTGCTCTGCCGCAGCAGCAGCGTAGCAGATCTATTTCGCCAAGACCAAATACATTAACATTATCATGTACGTTACCATGCCAATCCCTCCGATAGTTGTCATGACAGAAATACAAATATGTTTTACATTAATGTGTTCCTAAACTAATGACACAATACTTTAAAATGAATAAAAGCACATACTGGGTAAAGTAATCAGTTTGAATTAACTATGAAGTGGATTATTGATTGTTTTCGTACCATAAAAATATATTTGTAATAAACATTTGATGCATTCATCATATTTGATTCCCTCATAGTGGTCTGTGTAGGCAGCACACTAGGTTTAGATCGGGGCTTTCTCTAGCACCCCCTGTTGTCTGAGAGTGACAGTGTCTGTCTGTCTGTGGTGACTTTGTGGTTCTCTGAGGGTCACATGATGAACTGAAAGTCCCTATATGTCCTCACAGGGCCACACTTCACACCCAACATAACCTTCTTCCCACACACACACACACACACACACACACATACACACACACACACACACATACACACACACACACAAACACACTAAAGAATGAACTTCAAGTTTGAACCAAAACTGAACAGTCAAGTACAGTATAGTACTATTTTTTTAGTAAATAGTTGCTATTTTTCTTTACATTAAGCCTCACTTATGAAGCTTGAGACAAAGAATATCTGTGTAAATTATTTGTGAAACCAAAACAGACTTTTTTATGCAACTGTACATGATTAAAATTATGAGGGATTTACATAGAATAAATTTTGTGAAACAAATGGACAAAATGTCCAATGTGGAAACTGCAATTTTCTTTTTTATTGATAATAGTGCAAAAACACAGTGAGTGTTATTTGTTGAATGCAGTGAAGTGTTTGGGATGCACGTGAACATACAGTCATTTTAGCATCCTCTTTAGATGGTACTCATTGATTTTATCGTGTGCACATGCAGTAGTGTTCCTGCAGTTGAGCATCACTGATGCAAATACACTCATCTTACGTTTGCAATGCTGCAAATGTTCACACACAATCACCCTCAAGAGTGACTCACTAACAAAAGTGAGCACATTTGACTCAGTATTACCTAAGTTTCCTTTTTCACTTTCCGTTACTTGAAAGAACGTCCGTATTTAACAAAGTAAAACACGTCTGACTCACTGGAAAAACTCGAACCGTGCGCGCCCGCCGCTTTTGTTTTCAATAGATTTACTCAGCACATTAACTGAAAGTGTGAAACTGTGGAAATAACATTGTTCCAAAACACCATGAATCCTCTGCTGCAGAAGCTTTTCTTTTGGAATGATCTTCTCGTCGTCCTGCTCGACTGGATACTGTTGTGTGCAATATTGTGGGCGGCTTCTTTTTAATTAGAAACGAGATGGTATTGATGTTCCAGAAACCGGCATCGTAAATCATTTATCAGTGCTGGAGTGCTAACAAAGCAGCTCACGCTGACCGATCCTACCTCATCTTATCCATTATCATTGTTCCCACGGCTAGGAAAAAGACAGAGAAT